TCTCTCTCTCTCTCTCTCTCTCTCTCTCTCTCTCTCTCTCTCTCTCTCTCTCTCTCTCTCTCTCTCTCTCTCTCTTTTTCTCTCTCTCTCTCACGTTCTTTGTCGCGTCGTAGCTGTGTATATAATGGTGCTGTCGCTGTCATGGATGTTATCTCCAACATCGAAACGACAGCTTCGACGTTGCAGCTGACATCCATCGTAGCGACGCACGGTATTCTCTCTCTCTCTCTCTCTCTCTCTCTCTCTCTCTCTCTCTCTCTCTCTCTCTCCCTCTTCTGAAAAGACCCGTTCGCCATGTCACTTCATAATGTCGTTTCGTCTTGTTTTTATTTTATTTTTTCGTTTTTTTGTTTTTCTGCCGTAAAAATTCTCTTATTCTCTGCAACCTTTCTTTTGTAATGTACTTATTAATAGTTATTATGTTTTTTCGTTCTTCTTTATTCTGTTCGTGGGTACTGAATGTAGTCGTAGACTGAGCGTTGCGTGGCCGGTCGATTCCACGTCGCCGCTGCAATTCTCTCTCTCTCTCTCTCTCTCTCTCTCTCTCTCTCTCTCTCTCTCTCTCTCTCTCTCTCTCTCTCTCTCTCTCTCTCTCTCTCAAGATCGTCCGTACGCATCGTGTGTGTGTGTGACTGGTGGGATTGCTGTTCACACGTGCGTGTACGGCGGTCCTTGACGTCGCGACCTTCCGACAGACCGCCATGTGTACCGCGCTCTGTGAGGTCGACAGATTCGGAGAGAGAGAGAGAGAGAGAGAGAGAGAGAGAGAGAGAGAGAGAGAGAGAGAGAGAGAGTCAATGGCGATGTCGACCCGCGGAGAACCGTACACCGGACGTCTCGATGACATTGCCGAGCTGCTAATCCTGAACAGTCTGATTCTTGTCCTCGAGAGGATGAACGACCTTGGGCGTGACAAAGTGGCTTAAAGCATCACTACCTCTGTCACTCGTGGGAAAAATGGGAAAAATGGCTGTTTTCCTCACTTTTTCAGAACTTTTCGGGGGTTGGACGAGGCTTGGCAGTTGGGCCTTGAGGGATTCTTCAAAAAACAAAAGATCATCTCGGGGAAGGCCGTGCACCAAGTTGTACTCACACCAAAACTCACACGTTCGTATCCAACTGCTATAGTGGCCAGTTTCAGGTTTTCATTGTTTTTGTTTTTTGTTTTCGTTTTTTTTGTTTTTGTTTTGTTTTGGTGCCCTGCCAGGGAGGCACGGAGCAGTCCACAGGATGTTGACACTTTGTGGAGGAGTGCATGCCCACACTATTACTTTGCAGAATGTATGAACCCGCTTTCCAGCCTTAAGTTCAGTTTCAATATTTTTTCCCTCTTCCTTCTTTCGTGGACCTGACACCCTTGCCGGAACGCCCTCACTGAGGGCATAGTCACACACAAGGACTTTGGGCTAGGTATTTTTTTTTGTCTTTTGGCTGCGTGTGGGTCGTTTTTTGAAAGTCTGGCCGTGCTTTTTCTTTTTCTTTTTTCAGGAGAGTACCAGAAAAGAAACAAAACGGAACCCAGTCTCGGCAAAACTCGGTGTGCAGTGAAAATCAGGGTCGGCAAAAACAGGCTCGAGGGTAGTGGTGGTTTAAGAGCCTGACAAGCCAAGGAAGAGAATGCACATCTCGATGACATTGCCGAGATGCTAATCCTGAACAGTCTGATTCTCTTGTTTTCGAGAGGACAAATGACGCGAGGCGTGACAAAGTGGCCCTAGTACGCAAGCTCTTTCTCAGTGAACTCACATTTGTCGTGCTTTGCATCATCCTTGGTGCCACTGAAGTCGTTGAATGCTGTCTTACTGTTTCTGAACTTCTCTGGTCTGTCCTTCCATGGATGCTTGCTTGATATTTTGCCACCTGCTGCGGATTTCAATCTCCACCACGCCGATGAGTTGGATCCAAGTTTGCTCTCTTTTTGATAGGATTCGGTCAAGAGTCTGAGCGCATCTTCTCTTCCATATCGTCCATAGGGTGGCTTTCCTGAGCATGAGTGAATCCGTTCTTTCTGATGCCTTTTATGAATATGTGGATGTTGCTGGGGAAACCGGGCCTGAACCCGAGCGTGAACTTGAGGCTGAGCTTGAAGTCGAACCTAAAAAATGCAAGCCTGAACACACAGGAGAACATGAATCTGAACTTGAATCTGGACCAGAAACTGAATGTGAACATCTCTCTACTCCTGCAGGCAAGGGGATCCGAGCAGGTGGAGGACTTGCCCGCGTTACATGTAGTTCGGCATGAGCAGCCATACGGCATGACCAGCTATTCGATCGCCTACTACTTCCCAGTCGCCCATGCTTCCACTGGAGGGATGACGTCCCCTGTTCCCGACGACGACTCCAAACAGCGAGCAGGCGGTGTACCAGCTTCTGATCAGGGAAATCAGAGAAGTGGTGATGGAAATCGGTTGACTCAACGCCCGCCTCCAGAGGGCCCGAACGTCGCTGAAGTCATCGAAGGTGCGTAAGGTTATCTGCTTTGTTTAATCCCTTTAGATCACCTCTTTGGTCCTCTTCTAAATAAGCAAGGACTTCATGGCCAACTTCCCTACACTATAGAAATTGCTAATCCCGCAGTATGTAACAAATCGCCGATCTGGGCCTTCGTCGGTCCTACCGGCCCACGGCCCAGATCAATTGTGCGATGTAACAAATGTAACATCTGGGCCGTCGGGACCTTTTGGATTGACGGTCCCGATCGCGCAGTCTTCAGATCTGAAAACTGCGCGCCGATCGGTATCGTCAATCCGAAAGGTCCCGACGGCCCAGATGTTACAACCGGTTTGCCTTTGCCCACGGGAACCGGTTTGCCTGTTGGGAAAGCAGCCTAGCCCACGGGAACCGGTTTGCCCGTGTGGGAAGGCTGCTTTTCCAACGGGCAAACCGGTTCCCGTGGGCTGGCCGTGTTACCTCACTGTGCGCAGACCGTTTCGTCACAGTCGTATGTCGCGTAACTGTGAATCGCAGCGGCCAGATCGTGCGAGTTGTCGTCAAGCGCTCTCTCCTCTCTCTCTCTCTCTCTCTCTCTCTCTCACGTCCAGTGGTGGGCTGTCGTGAACTGTGGTGAGCAGTGGGCAGTGGTGGGCCGTGGTGAGTTGTGGTGGGCTGTGGTGAGCAGTGGTGGCCCTTGGCTGGGCAGTTGTGGA